ATATCACGCGTCGAATCAGAGAATCATTGTCACACAATGCCTTCTTACATAAGCTTCTCGGGCCTAAGTGCTTCGAGAGCTTCAAGCAGTTTGCGCAGGATACCAATTGTTTTGGGTATTCTCCTGTGCACCCATCTCCTACTCTCAGTGGAGATCGAATATAACTCGTCAGGAAACTAAACCTGACAAAATGGGAATCGAGGCGAGGAGTATTGCTTCCCATTCTAAATTATTTGCAATTTATCTTTTCTTTTGTCAATTTTGGGAAAAGGAGTTCGCGTCGGCGCATATTTTTAACTTACTGCTGGTTTTGTGGTGGTTCATGCGGTGGAATCAAGCTGGGTATGTCTTAGATGTAGTTCTGGCTGTGAACATCGGTCCTGTACTCATAGTGGATTTGGAGCTTTAGCTTAGGACTTGAATAAAACAACAACAACAACAACAACAACCACCAGACGCGTCTGGAACCACAAAAGCAAATGCTGCGCATGGCAGGAAGCATCGCAAAACAAAGAATGACAGATACAGGACTGGCACTTAGCGCCATCAATCTCGACACGATGGAAGTCTACTTCGTCGCGCAGTTGGAAGAACGCGGTCAAATCGACATTGTTATTTCAGAGGTCAATGTGATAATTAAGAACATGATAACTAAGGGTCTAAAGGACTCGCGATGGGTAGTCGTGGAAGTGGAGAGCTCCCACAAGATGCAGACTGAGCCACTAAATGTCGTCGAGAAAGTAGTCTCAGCGAGAACAACATCCTAATTCGCACACGTTGCGGCTCCAAAAATCGCGGTTCCGTGTGATGGAAACCGAGTTGGTCATGAATAAATCGATTTAATAAACTGTGTGAGGAGAAAAGCTAACTCTAGCTACTACTAACAGATATTTATAAGAGTTAATCCTCCTCGTAAATCTACAGACCAGGGACTTTTCCTTAGGTACAATACTTCTTACCCAGCCACGTATTTTCAGGTGTCGCTAAGTTGTAATGACGCTTCAGCCTTCTGACTAGTAGTGTCGTTTCGTTCAGCTTCATCTACCCCTCCATGCAGTCTTATCGTAAGAATTCTCAATATTAGGCTTAGGTATTGGCCTAAGCTCAAACAACGGTCAAACCGTAACATTCAGGTAGCAAAGCGGATGTTAATGGCGAACACGCCGAGGGGAACGGAAGCCCCCTTCAACACAGAGGCAGCAGATGCTCTCAGACCTCCTCAACCACCGGCCGCGACCTCAGGGACGACGGGGCGCCACAAAAACACTGCTGGTGGTGCCCCCATCGGTACGGCACAACAACACCCGCCGGAAATGGAAGCTTTGCTAGAAGCCGAAAATAAGCGGGCTGCGAACGCCTCCGCCAGACTCGAAATAGGCTCGACGGTATTGAAAACCCTTGAAAGCATTATCCTGTCACTAAAAACGACAGATAATAAGGAGCACTTGGACGCCATGAACGTCTGCCTAAGGGGCGCCCTCGCTCAATTCCTACACACCGGAACTACAACAGTGCCGATAAGCCTCCCTTCCCGCCCCATCGGCCAGCAGGCCAGCACCAGCGGGACTTTTCCACCATCAACCGCCAGGCTAGCAAGGCCTGCCTCAGCGGTGCGCCAGGTAACGCCAACCTGGGCAACTGTAGCCCGAAAAGAGCTACCTAATCAGCCGACGCCAGTTATGGTTAGTCGTGCCCCAAAAATGCCGACCCCTTCGTCCTCGCCGGACAACCGACTGCTTCTCCGGCTGGGTTCAAAACAACAGATGGCAAAAGATTTCGCCGGCTGGCATCAGAAAAGCTGTGGCGCAGCTCACCAACGCGTCACATGCAACCATTGAGCACATCTTTCGTGTCCCAGCTGGTTTCGCACTCCGGATCTCGACGGTCCCCTTTGTCATCCACACTCTTCTTGGAAGGGTGCCAGTGACAGAGGAGATAGTGATCGAGAAAATTATCAGGATTACAAAAGCAGTTCCAGTCAAGGTTCGGCCCCACGGAAAAAATCGCCTCGACGCGCCATACAAGTCATGGCTCACCAATTTCAAGAAGGGAGCGGAGCCAAGACTAAGGTTCCAACAGTTCGACGACTCAGGCCTCACGGTCCGACATCAACCGCAACAGACTGTGTATCAATGCAAATGTTGCATGCAGTTCCACGAAATCCGTGGTTGCTCCCGAGCCTCAGCTTTCCGGACCTGCACCTCCACGATGCACTTGACAGACGAGTGTCGTGCTCACACCAAGTACCGCAACTGCGGAGGACCGCACAGGTCCGGTAGTCGAGTCTACCTGGCGTGCCCCACAAAGTCCGGGCCGACAAGCAAAGAGCAACTGGCCACCATTCGCATAGCTAGCCAACGCGAGCTAGCGGCAGTGACGAGGGCTAAGGCTGCTGTCCGTCGCGCTGAGGTAGCAGCGTAAGCAGCCGCTCGGCAGACACAAGCCTCGCCCGGAGCGGACAAATCGAACAACAGGTTCGAAGTTCTGATGACCGACACCGCCCCCGACGCCACGGCCACAAGAACGACGAATCCTGTTGAATCTTCCTGAAAAGTCCCTAACGGGTCCCTTCCAGCCTCCCACCTATGATAAGTTTTATTTCGATAAACGTAGGTAGGGGAGGCCAATCACACGACATCGCGCTTTCCCGAGCTTACGAGCTAAGCGTAGATGTAGTGTTAATGCAAGAGCCTTCGTGGAACAAAGCCACAAAGAAAACAAAGTCACACCCTGGTTACGACTGCCACATACCACATGGCGGCGTAAAAATACGACCCAGGGCATTCACTTATACACTAATAAACAGGAGAATCCACTCGGCAACTCAAACCTTTACCTGCGATCCCTTGACAGCGGACAACAGCTGGGTTGTGGTAAACGGAGTCATGTTCCTCAACGTGTACAAAGACCCGGCAGCGATTCGACCATTCCTCAGCTGGGACCTACCACCACGATTCGTCGTAGCTGGCGACTTCGATACTGTGCACTGCGTCTGGCAACCAGGAGTTACCCACCCACGTGGACAAGAAATTGAAATCCTGAGATGGGTGGAACGCCACAATCTCACTTGTCTGATTGTGGGCGAGCCAACGCATCGAGTTGAGAACACGCTCGATCTTGCTTGAACCAACATCAACGGAGCTCAAGCATGGGTGGATCGCAACGAGTGCGTAACCAGCGACCATCTACCGATTCGAGGACGAGTTCTCATCGGATCCGGAAAAAGGGACCAGGAGGCTCCGTTGATCAGGGTAACGCGTGGAAACTTGCCGAAGTTCGCTCCTGCCGTAACGCAGTGGACACATCCGCCACTAGTCTTAGACACGGTTCACAAAGCGGATGAATACGCCAACGATCTCTGTTACGGCCTTACTAACGCTACCAAAGCAGCAGGAACACATGACACGGCAAATTTGCGCCCTAGTGGACTCCAGAATGCAAACTGACTCGCACAGAATATCGTGCAGCAATGACTCCAGAGCAACGATGGTTGCATGCGAAGAAGTTGCGTGCAACCCTAAGCGTGGCAAAGAAAGAGCAACAGTCGCCCACAAGCCAGGACCCAGGCTTTTTATTTTTCGACTTGATTCCCTCCTTGCGGGTGTACGTAGCGTCGTAAATATATAGTGAGAGATGACTGGAAATTAATGAAGCAAGTTCTTATCTGCAACTGGAGCAACTTCTTTATTGGTCGTTGAGGCGACATGATGCGTGGTTAGAGAGGGGTTGAGGACTCAGATGAGTGTGGTAAGAGAGGCATTGTCGAGAAGTCGTCAAATGGAAATGTGCTTGAGGTTGCTTTCGACTTCGATTCGGATGCGATTCTTCTTGGCTATCCCAGACATGAAGAGCATACTGAGAGATTACACCGACACCACTGGAAGATGAAGAATCCGTCTTTGGTGGCAAATTTGAATGTAAAATCTATTGTATATAATGAGGTATAGTCACGTCTCAGTCACGTCGACATTTTAGCACAGCCTCGAAAAGATGCTTTACTCACAAAGGATCCTCAATATTTAATGGCTTTCTGCATTGAGGCTGGAAAACTCTTCCATGATATTTAAAAATGAAGTCTTTGTCTGCTCATCTTGAGGCCTACTTTCTGTTGAGGGAGTACAGTTCGTAAGGAAGCCGCGATTAGATTCTTTGCCCCAACAAGTTGCCACATGATTTATCACTAGCGTTCTCTGTAACGTAGTATTAAAAGCCTAGTAAATCCTGTAGTTAGAAAGAATAAGGAAATGAACATAGATACGATTTCATTATAGAAGTATTCAACTGACACCGTGCTCCCATCAATTGTGATCAATATTTAACAATATTTAACACTTTCGAAGTCTTGAGGACCTATCACCATTGAATTATCCCGCACCAATACTTGTGAGCCATTCTTGATTGGTTACTAAAGTTCGTCAGTAATTATTTTTAAGCGCTTACATAGTTCATCCTCGAGTAGAAACGTGCTGCACTTCAAAGTTGTTAGACTAAAGGAAATATATGATTTAAGGCCATCATGACCAAGATAAAGCAATCAGGGAGGAGGTAAAACAACTATGTGGCATACTTTATAGGTTAAAAGTCTTGTCAAATACCATTCTGGTGCTCGTAAGTATCACTCCAACTCTTTGGGTATGCACCAGTCTGAGATGCCAATCTAGTAGTGACGGCAGCAAAGTAACGTGAAATTAAGATGAGATATACCAAGTAGGCGCGATCAGGGATATAATTGAAGATATGTTAAGGAAATAATGACCCCTCAGTCATTGAGGTCGAGAGCGAATTGATTCAAGTAACTACTGAAGTGAAACTAAGTACAGAATTTGTAGTCACGTGTGTATCAACATCGTAGCCTACTTGATAGCCCCAGTTATTCCGAATTCTAAGTAGTCACCATTTCCCCTCGTGGATGGGGCTTTATTTGTAACTAGTGCCCGGTAGAGATAAAAAATAAATAATTTAATTCTAACAAGATATGATAATTGAGATAAATAGGTCCGTCAGATATATTTGTAAGGATTCATAATACCGTGCTGCTCTCGTCAGTCAGGATCAAAGATTTGGAAAGTGATAGTTACCGGGTCATATAAGTTTTTAATCTGTTTCATCAGATGAATCATAGTGTCATCTCGACTGTAACCGATAAAGTTCTTTTTAGACAAGCCCAACCCATGCTCAGCACTAATGCTGCCATTACGCTTTCCAACCCACTCATAAACAAAGGGTTCCAAGACTCTCTCTAGGTGTTTGTCGAAACTTCGAGCAGCAATATTCAAATGTAGATTTGAATCACCCATATGTCCATAACCAACTACACTAACAGCCGGATACGCGTCAGAATCGCCTAACAACCCAGCGGAGTCTATACGATGCCGAACATCATCTACCAAAGCATAGAGATCACATATAGGAATGGATAAATCATATTTGTAGACGGCTCCCCAGTGTCCCAAGGACTCAGGAATTCCTTCACGCCAGCCCCACAACGCCATCATTTGAGTCTCGTCCTGAGCCAATACCCCATCTTGTGCAATTTCTTTATCCAGAACACTCTCCAAAAAGTTTTCGAGCTTCTCTCGATCATGTTCTGGATTAGATCCACTAGTTTCGATGAGACAATAGAATGGATACTCATCTTCCAAGGGTCGTTTATTTTGAGTCACTTGGCTCACTATCTTTTGCGAATGCCCATCCATGAGCTCAAATGCAGAGAGAATTTCAGAAAGTTGTTTCTTGGCAAGAACAAATGCTTCTTGCACCTTCTCATAAGACTCGAGACCGAAAAATGCCACATTTTTGGCGCTTGATCGTTGGACACATTGAACCGAGACCCCTGTTATTATGCCTATCGTGCCTTCTGCGCCGATAAACAGTTGTTTTAGATCATACCCGGTATTGTTTTTTCGCAATTTCGATAAGTCATTCATGATTGTTCCGTCAGGTAATACTGCTTCGATTCCTAGAACACTTCCATGAAGACTACCGTATCTTAGGAGCCGAAGACCTCCGGCATTTGTCGCAACGTTTCCCCCAATTTGGCATGAGCCCTTTGCGCCGAGGTCTAGAGGGAAAATATGGCTTCTCTCCTTAAGATAAGCGTCAGCTACTTCGAGAATACAGCCTGCATCGACCACGAGAGCACCCGAGACCTCGTCAAAATCGCGAATGGCGTTCATACGACTCATATTGATGACAATTTCGTCAAAAACAGGGACTGAGCCACCGACGAGGCCCGAGTTGCCGCCCTGCGGCACCACCGCCAACATCTTATCGTTACAGTATTTCAATATCTTCGATACTTCATCTGTCGAACATGGTTTGAGTACAAGCTTTGTATGACCTCTATATTTGCGCATCCAGTCTAAATTGAAGGGCTCAAGGTCATCTTCGGCATCTTTTGTCACGCCATCGATAACTGCTCCATCCTTGCCTAATATTGCTTTGAAGAAATCAACATGTTGAGGGGTTACTTGAGCGTAATTCGATCTGCGCTCAAGTTCAGGGTATGCATCTGAGGTGTATCTAGTAGATTTGGAGGTTTTTAGGGTGTCTTGAGTCACTACTTCTTTATTAATATTACCTGCAGTACTCAGCCATCGGGATGAAATATTGGGATGATGAAAGCGAGAGGGAGCTGAGTTCTTCCACGCTCGGCAAAGAAACAAAGCTGATCGTGACTGGTTTCTCATGGTTGAGTGGTACAAGCTCTGTTGTAGATTTTAGTGAATTGAACCAAAAAGTACTGAGCTCGACTTATTCGGCTTTCAGACAACTTTGAAAAGAAATAGATGTTAACGCCTGAGCTAATAGGATATAACTGAGAGGCAGGCGAGTAAGCTAGTTAATGATAAAAATAGGTGCAATTGGAATTTAAGATGATTATGTTGCCTTGCCCACAATATGATAAATTGTCCGACATGGAGCGAAGGAGCGCATGTGCTAGCACTACCAGAGTAGTCTAAACTAGCCTAATTACCAATCTAGATTAAGACTAGCTTGATTCGTTAGGGTCCTCACCTTTAGCACAAACAAGTCACACTAGGAAGGTCGTCCAGTGAAGAAAACGACCCCTGGATAAGATGAGGAGATGCTGAGATGAGCCAAAGCTGGGAATGAATCGAAGGGAAAAGGTACAGACGGCGAAGGTGTCAAGGGCTCGGGCGCGTAGTGGCCGAGGCTGAGGAGGAATTTGCGCTTCGGCGTGGCAAAAGGGGGTTCTCTGGACGGTTGGGCTTGACATGATTCAATATACGGGTGAAGTCTGATGTGATCCGGTCATTTAGGTGGGACGAGGCACTTGTACTTTACGGTAGTCAGCTTGATCCAGTCCGGCCCCACCCGTACTTAAGCTCCAGTAGGAGTGCGACGGTAGTTACTTTACCCAGCATGTTAATGAATAAAACAAAACAAAAAACACCCTAAACACCCCACGGTTTACTTCCACAGTCACGTGCATAGATATGATGTGACCTAAAGCATGTACCATGGTAAGTAAATTTCGAAGCCAAATGTGGGTGAGGTCGAGAAAGACGCCCTTGGCACTTTGCAGAATGTCGATCAGTCCTACAAGGGTGGAGAGGCATGAAACGAGAACCGCCCCCGAGGGCGATTGAGATGCTTGGAGGAAAAGGTTGGGAAAATTTTATCGAATTTGCAACTGTAACAAGATGTTTCAGGGAAAAGGCCGTAGATAGAGAGTCATAAGCTCCCCTAGGTGTATCAGTGGTTATTTTAGTAGTCAATTGCTGGGAAGAATAGGACAGGGCGCTTGTGTTTAGACACACTGTATTGCTTTCTTATGTTTATTTCTTATGGTTTCTTTGGCAAGTAAAGCCATGCACGTAGGTAGTAGTGAGTCTGCATAGATCACATACCCGTATCTCGCCTATTTGGTTTAAGCACATGCCTGATACGAATAGCAATCAATACTCAATACCATGATAAGTAACATGGATAACACAAAACCTTGCCTTATTGCAAGAGGCCTGGGTATGTCCCCATTGACTACAGTTGAAGAACTGCTTGACTTGCACACTGGGTGACGAGAGCTGGGCCTTGTACAACATGGAATTGAAAACAATGCCGTTTCTTATCGTTTCTTATAAAAGTGACTCTATCAGCAGGCTCACGATTACTGATCCTCGAGTGTTACCATTTTTCGTCATCCACTGAAGCTCTCTCACATCGAAAAGCCAGCCTACTCGGCTGATTTTTAGTTCTGGAATCAGACCTTTTGTCTCTTCATTCATTTCGTATACCATTGTGCCGTCGGCATTTTTTTCTCCTCGTATCATTGTCCCCAATGGGACTCCTAAACTATCAAAGGGATAATTCTACTTAAGGACGCAGAAATTCTTCGAATGTGCCATATTCAGGGCAGCGTCTCGCTATGAGACCGTCTGCACGAACAATACAGTGACATTACTCCATAACTACCTTATTGCGTATGCCCCCTCGATAAATTAGTTAACTTTATAAAGTAGCTCTGCTGACTGCATTTTATTTGCACCTTTAACTCATATCCGTACTATCGCTTTGGAGGCTAGTGGTGCGATATTTGAGGCGTAAGTAGGTCGCCCTCCTGTTGTTTGTGCCGACTGAAGAGCCGTGGTGACATCGGCTCCACGAAACTCCTCTCAACTGCCTTTACTAAGGCCAGCATCCTTTTCCCCCATTTAGACTACCGTCATCTTCGATCATAACATGTCGGCACGGGCTTTAAAGGCTTCTATATTCTCATGCATCTCAATCATGGGTGTCGCAGATTTGTCAGTGTCTACGATAGCCAGTTTATCTCGAATCGAACTTGAGTAATACCGTAGCCTTCAGGTTATCCATTTAAACGTCTTTTTAAATCGATAGAGAATCTTAAGCCTTATTTGCAGCTGTTACGCTGTCCATTGGTGTTCTCGTTGGTGCCGTGAACATTTTTCCAGCCATGAATTCCACATTTCTAGATCCTCAACCCTACATGCCGAAGCGCAGCAAGACAAAATCTTTCTTTAGAGATAAGATGGGTCAATTATGATGGTAATAATCTACGAAACGATACAAAAAACGTTTGTAGAACGTGATACCACTTCTAACTACATGATAATGTTTTAAATCAACACGTTAACGACTAAATAATTAGAAAGGGACACTTTATGGTGATTCGAAGGGGGACAATTCTCAATACGTGTTAGTGGTGTCCCCTACGAACCTACAGCTATCACTGTAGAGTCTGCAGAGCCGAGATTGAGTAACAAAGTCCTCACTTCGACGAGGATTCCAAATCGCTTTCGCGGTCTGTATCGTCTTATCTCTCAACACATTCCTCTATCACCATTATCATGAAGCTAACCACGATCAGATCAGATGGTAGGATCGGAGCCCTACTCATCACCAACCCTTGATCATGGAGGAGATGCCATCCGATGAGTTTCCGGAGCGTACCCAGCACCCGATACGGCGATGGTGAATTGGATCAAGTAGGCCTCGACTGTTACAAGGAAGGGAGATATAGATGAATATGCGCACCTCATGGGGTACCGGTGACTAGGCCTCACATGGCTGGGGCTGCAGGTTTTTTGAGACTTTTTCCCGCACACGCAGTTTCCATTGCTACCTTTTTTTTGTGCAGGAGGTTCTATGGAGTAGGTGGCTGAATATTACTGGTAAACACTTAGCTGAATGGCTATCCATCAAGGGTAATGTATGAATGATCTTTCAATGATAAACGAGACAAGGAACAATGTACGAGGTGTTATTAATTCATTTATTGTCTTGTCTGAATCTATGACAACGAAGGACATGCAGGCCCTCTCTGCCTGCAGGACAAGGATACCTATACCAGTAGTGTATCCCCTTCTATGCTTCCCATGCAGCTCCCCTCAAACAATACCATTTCTCACAAGTCCTCATTCCATCATACATTTAGATAAGCCCGTAGCTCTTCATTATCTCCTCTCTCCAGCCAACGAAACGATGGCCATTTGCGGGTGTAGGGCAGCTGGGAAAATTCGCCAAAACCACTGGGTGCGAAGCTCTCCTAACACTGATATTAGGACTAAATCGGAAGACATAGTGATCCGTCTGAGGCGTTCGAAAAGGCCGGTCGGCTGGGCGTTGCAGACTTGCAGGTACATCAGGAAATTCACACTCTGCCTTTCTAGCCTCCTTCCCGAAGGTCGTGCTGAAATGTCAGAAAAGCCTTGATAGAGTGGGATTGCTGTTTGTCAGATTAGCCCAAAATCTTTTGTGCCATCCAGGGCGCTAGGGAGTGCCGTTGACTCATCGACAATTCAAGTCCTTCTGACTAATTCACCCAATACTTGGATTTGACTCCCTCAAACATACCAACTTTCGAAAACCCTCCGTAATTATCAGTCCTAAAATTGCTATAATAGGGCTCTATATCTTGAGAGAAACGGGTGGCTGGAACGTGGAATGAACAAGAAATGAGACCTCTTATAGTTAAAGTCTCCCCATAAATTAAGACTTGAGCTTTGTACTTTATGACAGTTTTCTTCTTGTGGGTATACGAAGGGCCGTAAATTTGATGATGGGTGATGGTTGGTAAATAATGAGGCGCGCCTCCGCTTGCAATTGAAGCAGCATCTCGAAAGGTGGTCAGGGGAGGTAGTGTGTGATGAGATTAAGCTGAAGAACTGACAGGAGAATGCTTGAACCGACATTAATTAGATATCGCCCATTATAGATATAATTTGAACTGCTCTCGAATTCGATTTGGTTGCGGCATAACTTGACTGTCTCAGATGTGCAGACCTAACCGAGCGAACACACGTTGCAAGGGCTCCTGATAGATGTTGCTGATAGCGCCTGCAGAAATAAGAATTACTAAGCAGCTGAGAATATTCTCATTACAGTAAGTAACACGTGACGCCGAAGTGTAGCTGTTTGCACTGTTTGCCATAGGTTTTGTTCGCTTGCGGCCGCTAGTGGAATTACATTAAGTATATAATCCTCGCTCACCTCAGTCTCCCCTTCTCTCCCTATCTTAGTGCATGGGTATTACGCATATCAGTGAGGATTCGTCCGAGATTGCGTTTTTGCTAGTTGAAAACTATAACCATGACCGCTCTCACTTTGCTTCGGTAGGGTGAGGAATTTTTGGAACCAAACTTCTATGAAGACATTTTTCATTTCGTGCTGCCATAGGCGGTCGGGAAGAAGAAATTCCCAACATAGTTAGACTTCAACATTGTTTATATGTATGAATAATTTCACTTCACAACTATCCATCACACAAACATGAGTTCAGTTTTAATAACAGGAGCCACTGGACTTCTTGGAAGAAAGGTTGTGCAGGCTTTTGAGCGGTCTGGATGGAACGCTATAGGTGCCGGATATAACAGAGCTAAAGCACCCAACATTATCAAGCTTGATCTATGCTCTGAGGTTTCTGTCCTACAAGCACTGTTATCTATCAGGCAAGAGCCCAAAATACTACATAACGAACGCTAACTAATAGCGTAAAGGCCGAAGGTTGTAGTGCATTGTGAGTTCCAAGTGAGAATTCTTTTCGAAATGCTTACCTCGTTCGCAAAGGCGCCGCGTATCGTTTTCCCGAAAAATGCGACGGGGATCACGAAGGTACCCAATTGCTCAACGTCACAGCTACTGATAACCTTGCCTCCATTTGTGCAGCACGAAATATTTTTCTGATTTACATTTCTACGGATTACGTTTTCTCAGGCATCCAGGGTGAGGCACCCTACGACGCTGATAGCACACGCAAGCCAACCAATTTTTATGGAGAGACAAAAAGCAAAGGTGAAGATTCGGTGTTAAGAGCGTATCAAAGAGCCGACGGAACCGGATGGGGAATTGTCCTCAGGGTTCCTGTACTATATGGTGAGGTTGAGTACAATAAGGAGAGTGCAGTGAATGTTTTAGTGGACAGCATATGGAAGGCTCAAGAGGATGGTGTGATTATCCCCATGGATCATTGGGCCATCAGGTACCCAACTAATACTGAAGACGTCGCTAGAGTCGTAGAAGGTATGCTTTATTCTGGCAATTTGAAGCCAAAACATTTCTAACATTTGTAATAGAAATTGCTATGAAGATTATTTCCACTCCAAATAAATCCAAACTCCCGACTAAGGTCCAGTTTACTTCTGAGGATCACTTTACAAAGTATGAGATCTGCCAACTTCTGGCCAGGATCTTAGATCTTCCCATCAACAACCTCAAGGCTGATTTCCCGGATCGTGATACATGTGGGGGAATACAGCGGCCTTATGACTGTCACTTATCTACGAAAGGTCTACTAGACCTTGGTGTTGACGTATCAACGGTTGATTTTGAAGAATGGTGGAGGTGTCATCTCAGTGCCTTAAAAAGGTAACGCCACAGACAGTGACACTACTCTCTTCCAAAAATGTTCTAATTTATTATTTCATGTCGAAACGCTTAGTTTTGCCCCCGGCTAAGATTTCATAACAAGCTATAGTCACAAATAAAATCATGCCTAGGCTTGCCTCTCAACGTGAAAACCCACACAATCTATAGCTAGCTCTTGTTTAATAGTCGTAGACTCAAATTAGATGTAAATGTATAGCTAGCTCTTTCAACTCCAATTGTTTCTCTCAACGCAGGTTCTACTGGGCTTCAATTGTTTACTGGGCCTCTTTATCTAGCATCTTTCTATTGAAATTTTGAAGTTCATTCGACGAACCCTTCTATTGTTTAAACCAAGCTCAGACCTCTGCTCGCATTAGCTTGTGGGGTCAAGAGTCGTTCCTGCCCTATCAGTTTGTGCAGACTTGAATACTTTTTATCTTCCAGACATCTTCCGATAAATTATCTCACTGCCATGGAAACAGAGTTGGGCTATCGTTATAAATGTATGTTGGTGTAGCTCCGCTCCTAATTAAAGTCGTAAGTCCCTCTATGTAGGCCTCGCCTGACGCCAAAGATTAACATAAGTTGTAAGAGACAAAAATTTCACACCTGCCTATTACGTCATCTAAAGCCTTCCAGCTTCCATTTAGGAGCCTACAGAGCGTCTAGTATTTTTTTAAAATCGTTTAATGTGTATGCAGCTATAGAGCTATGACACATGACCGGAATTATTGTTACATGTCGGATGACCCTCTTGCATAAGAGACACTCATTCTCTACATTTCAACTGCAAATAACACTACTAGTGTTAGAATCCGGAATAATTGGAGCTTTCAAGTAGGCCACGTTGTTGGTACACACGTGACTACAAATTATGTACTTAGTTTCACTTCGGTAGTAACTTACATCAACGCGCTTTACAACCTCAATGACTAAGAGGTCATTTTGAATTTGATTTCATTTAGCCCGATTTGGCGCCTTAAGGCCCGTGCAGGTGTCTACGAACTCTAATATATATAAAGGAGGAAACCTTTATGGTAAAAAACCCTTCATTTTTCAATTTATATACACTTTAAGTTTGTTTTACCTTCAGGAAGTGCACTAATACTGTTATATCCGGTGCGGATACCGTCCACTTCATTGCTACTGGCAGGAGATCATCTTTCCCCTGCTCTCCCCTCTCTCCCTCATCGTGGCCTCCGTTGTTCCAAAATCTTGAGCGACGGCTACTGTAGATTTTCTTTGGGGCGAATTGACAAATATATTATATTAAGTATATATATCGCAACTACCTCGATCCACTGACACTTCTCCTAAAGGTACTACTCGCCAGAATAGTTTTCCATCTCAGCTCTGACCACCTTTCCTTCTATGACCAATTCATGACTAATCCAAAGCTCCTTCCTGTTCAGTTCCAGGGTTAAGTTTACTCCAAGCAGATTAGGATACTGTATGCGAGAGTCTTCCTACAGCCGCGACTTCAAGCGTCAGTCGAAACTGCTCTAGCCTTCCTTTCTGCTAGATCCATCTGGTTATGCTTGTAGTATCCGTGGGACAATTCATTATGGCCTCAAATGATCGGTTTTCTGCCTTTCTCAGTATTTCTCCTCTACCTTTGACCCAGCTGCTGCAGGCCATGATCATATGCTTCACATTCTGGGACGGATATCCACATTGGCATCGTTGGTTATCTACTCCTGGAACTTTTCTTCTGTGCAGATAGGAATTGAACCCAATGTGTTCGCTTCTTATCTGCATGGACTGAGAGGTCATTATTTCCTTAATAACGAGGTATGACCGCTTACGCAAACAGTCAACCCTCTGCAAGTACCCTCCAAAGGGAGGTTCAAAACCTTTGTCCGACTAAACATGCCTTCGTCATCCATGGACATCAGCGCCGCGAATTTGTGGTGGTGTTTTGCCAGATTTAAACTAGCGATCTACTGTCTCGAGTGGGATATATGTCCTAGCTATCCAGATTCTACTTTGCAGACCGACCAAGACGATGTACCACTGCACCACTAAAATATGGGAGTATGGAACTAGTATCTTTGTTAATGATTCTAAAAATCTTTCTACCGTTGAGGTTTCTTGTGAACGTTAGTAAGAATAAAATGATAAATGTTGACTGCGAAATTCACGGATGTCTCGTGGCTCCGACTACGACAATCCATATGTGTGTAGAACTTGAGACTAGGTGTAAACTTGTATTTCTATCAACGTTCTAACTACTCCTTAAATACATGAAATCCTTTATAATCCAGATAATGTAAAGATCCATGATACATGACAAGTAAACTATCAGAGTACGATAGGGGAGAAGTGAGGTGCTTAGGCGCACGGGTTATGACCAAAGAATGCGAGGGGTGCATTTTTGATGGAACCTTTAACTCGGCGGGCCGGCAAAGACGAATTCTTCACCTTCCAGTGGTGCCGGTGTAATCGCTCAGTATGCTCTGCACATCTGGGATAGCCAAGAAGAATCGCATCCGAATCGAAGTCAAAAGAAACTTCAGGCATATCTGAAGTTGACGACTCCTCGTCAATGTCGGACCTATCATTCTCACGCGAGTCTTCCACCTCGCCTCAAATACCGATAATGGCGTCACTCCAGTTTTAATCGGGCATTGGCCTCATCAAAAACCGGCCATTTCCCACTACTCCTTTGCCACGCTTTTTTCCCCGCTGAGTTGTGATTCGGGTGGGCCCTGGCCACCACGCTTCTGCTCCATATAGCGCTGTACTAAGGACACAAGCCTGCAATACTTTGATTACAGGTCCCGGGGCTGCGCCGCGCTGTGCGGAATTTGTTCGACGTATAAGCTGTGTTATGCGTTGTGCCTTTCCGCACCATTCCTGGACGTGTTGCTTGAAGTTGAGCTGAGAGTCTAGCCATACTCCCAGTTATCTCGCGTACGAGGATATGGTTATGCTATGGCCTTGGATCTGAACGGACAGGCCTGAGGTATCTAGCTTTTTCTTTGGCCCTCCCCTGATTACCAGTAGCTCAGTGTTGGAAAATATGGTTATTTAGAGACAATCATATCACCCACTAAGGAGCAGTAGTGTCTGGATCCCTCTGATTGGTCTGAAGTGTAGGCCCTCATGTACGGGTGTTGATCGCACTAGCGCCTTGGCATCTACATAGGCTAACTCTCACTTGATAGCGTAGATAGAGAATAGAGAAGAACAAACTAACCTCTCTGAAATTCAGAACCTAATATGCTAGCACATTTAATACCCGTGATATGCCTACAGATAGGCAGCTGGGACGCACATTTTTCGAGTGTTTTCGACTTGAGGGTGTCTGTGGGTGCCGAGGCAACGATTTAGGATAGTGCTACCGACACTCTAAAAACAGGCAACGATGGAGTGTGTTTTGATCGCCTCCTGGTCGTCATCTTCGCGAATTCAAGTCTGGGTAGCCTGGACACCTATCGTACTCGAGAAAGAGAGGACTGTGGGACCATATCTCGCGTGGCGGCCACATACAAGATAACAAAGACATGTTAGGGTAGCCAAAGGCTTTTCATGTTTTCACTTTGGTGGATACTAACGGTTGAGGGAAGGGTGAAAGTCCCGAGCACCATAGTCTCGAGTGGTATCAGTGAATGCACCCACTACATGAGTAGTGCCAATGTCAAAATGAGTTATTGTCGTATTTAGTCGTCGGGGAAGCTAGTCTTCACCGTGTCATGCTCTATGACTGCTAGACTTGTGCCCGTTACGAATAAACCTTCTCTCTTGGTCACGAAAGAAGGGCCATCTGATGATATTCCGGAGTCCACCCAGCACCCGTCGCGGCGCTGATGGATTTGCTCTAGTCAGTCTATTTTGGTACAAAGAAGGGAAAATTTTCAGTCTACGTCCCTGTCGTGCTTCCAGCGTCTAGGACTCTTTTTTGATTCATATTGTATTCAGCTATTAAGCCATGGCAATTGAACTCTGTAAACATGGCGAAAATCAAGCTTGTTCCATATACAGATAAGAATAAAGATTCCAAACCCCTCCTCCCGATCTTTTGTACTCTAATGTACCTATTCCTCTTCAACTCCTATCGTTTGGGTGCCTAATATATCACCATTGGGTATTGATATACGCTTTTAAGTTCCAAATATTGTAGTAGGGCTTCCATTTGTCCAGACAGTGCCTGGCTGGGGCTGCAGGTCTATCTAGAACTCTCCGCGCGCACGCAGTTTCCGTTGCTATCATTTTTGTACAGGTAGAATGTACGATAAAAATGGCGGCTGATTAACATAGGTAGCTACTGAGCCAAATTGTGGTGCTTCATGAGTGTTGCATCGGATGTCTTTTCGTAACTAATGAAGACAGAAGCCCTGTGTAGAGTGTGGCCCGGGATGAAGAGGAGCTCAATGTGCTAGATAGTTCGTGGCTTAGGTAGTGTGCTAAAATCAAACTAGGAGCTGAGAACATCAGTATAATGAGGTAGAAGAGATATGCTGAAAGGGAATAAGATACTAGAATATTCCCTGTCTACAACTACGATCAAACAGGCGGAGGGAAAGACTGAACACCGGTACGCGATGCCCTCTACAAAGCTGGGAGTGAAATATTCACCCAGGGCCAAGTCCAGTCAAATTTCGCAATACCCATCAAGTTGACCCACGAGGCAATGATTCAAACTACTCTACCACGTCGTTTTTTCGCTCTCAACGAGTTTGACTCCTACCTAAGTCTCATCAAGTCTACAAGTTCGACCTAGTACATTCTTATCTCAATGACTACACCTTTCTTCGACTTTCTCTGGCCCCAGCTGCTCGCAATATACACGCCCACGCCGGTAGTCACACCCGACGGAGCAAGCAGCGCGTGGCGCACAAATCTGGGAGAGATTGTTTAGGATAGACGTGAGAGGGATAAGGAAAGGTTCACACGATGATGCAAATGAAGCCTGTAGCCCCGAATGACGTGAAATATCGAATCCTTGGAAGAGTTTTACGAATTGAGCTTTGTGCGCGCCAAGACTTCGCTTGCGAGAGTGCA